TGCATCACTTGCATGAAGGTGCTAGGAGCATTAGAAAGGCTGAATGGCATAACCAACCATTCGTATAAACCATCCTTAGTCTTGAATGATTTTTCCATTCATCTCTAGGACGGATTCGAATTTGATGGTACCCACTTCGCAGATCGATCTTTGAAAACTATTTTGATCCTTCCAGCATGTCCAACATATCATCTAGTCTGGGAATGAGAAATCTATACTTGATGGTAATCTTGTTGATGGCTTTGATATAACTTGACGCAGCGGAATAAATCACACGAGACTAGATATCGTTCTAGTAGACGAGAATTCTTGAATCCACAAGAACACCCTTGAATCCACAAGGAAGATAGAAGAAAAGTTCTTTAAAATATTATTGAATGAATAAAAATTACATATGTTTGTAGGTTTTTTATAATAGACTAAATCTAATACTTGTAGGAACAGTGATTCCAAAATAAATTAGGAAACTTAAATCAACACAAATTAATAAACCTAAGAGAACTAGAAAACCTAAGAGACTAAAAATTCTAAACTATTTAAAATCCTAATAAAAAATCTAATTCTAAATAATAAAATTAAGAAATATAAAAATTATAAAATTTTGTCCTATATCTTTTTTCTTACCTTTTATCGGTCCAACTGTTTCAAGAAATTTCCGACTACTTATTCTACATCAGATTGCATGTAGCCGATGACGATCGTGTGCCATATGATTAGACACCCAATCATGTTGCATTATCCTTGTGGCGCGACTAACATTGTTTTTTTTTTTTATAACTTTTTTAAAGAGAATATTTAATGTGATCGTTTGTCAAGTGCTCCACTTTTGCTCAAGTTTTTAATGTGACACAAGTCTTAAAACTTTAAGGGGCTTTTTATATGAAAGGTTCCTTTTAAAAACAACCAAAAAATAAACGTATTCAATATGAAAATTCCCAACATATTTGTGCTTAAAGATTCTTGGGTTTTAACATTGAAATGGTGAAAGAATATCTTGGATTTCCTGATTTTGTGCATAAGATATTTGGTCCATACGAAAATACTCGTATTTAAAGCAAAATGGGTAAATACAAAATAAAAAATTTCAAACATAGAAATTGGTTATCAAATTGGCCACAAATATATGCAAATAAATAAACAAAATTTAAAAGTTAACTCTACTAACAAACCTTATAAAATTTTATTTATTCACAAGTATTCTATGTCTGATTTTTATATTCGTAACAAAAGTTGAAATAGTTTGTTTTACGTCTACGATAAATTAGAAACATCATGAATATATAAAAAATTTAGAAGGGGCAAATATGTATAATTAAAACATAATTAACATTAACGATCGCCTTCTCTTGCTCTCTTCTACGTTCATCATTGTCTTCAACCATTAACGACTATCAAATTACATTTTGTTTATTATGTAAATTGTTACCGTTGAGTTAATAACAAATGTCAATGATAAGACTTATTAAATTAATACAGTAATTCAGTAATGATATCATGTTTAACTTAAAATAGAAACCTAATTCCCTCCCATTTATTCAATCCAACCTCAAAAAACAACATTAAGAAGTTTTCAAGTCTTTCCTTTTGCCGATTAAAAAAAAAGAAAAAAAAAAAAGAAGTTTTCAAGTCGTTAAGCAATGTGGGTGTGTGGAGCATTATTCTTAAAAATCTGTATGCATTCAAATATATGAACATAGAAAATGATTTATTTATTTTTTTATTATCATGTTTCGTATAATAAATAGAAATTTATTTGTTAGTTACCGTTGAATTAATAACAAATGCCAACAATAAGACTTATTAAATTAATACAGTAATTCAATAATGACAAATAATAAATAAATAATTATTGATACATAAATACATAAATGTACTAATCATAAATGCTGGGCCTGTAAGAAGTTTTCAGCAAAATGGGCTGATTTGAATTTGGAAATTTACCGTAGAAGATTTGGGCCCCAGTGCTCCATAATTACATTAAAAATTGATATGCTAATTTTTTATTTTTTTATATATAAAGTTTAAGTATCAAATTGGCATATGTAAATTTGATATTTTAGAACAAAATATATGTCAAATTTATTATTTCATTATTTTTACTTTTATCTTTTTTGAAATAATAAAAGAATTTGACATCTTCTTTTAACTATACCAATTTGGTATTGCGGAAAACATGTCAATTGCTAATTGCCAACTCAATTTTACAAACGTAAAAAATGACCATTTAAGATGCTCTAATATAGGCTGCATTTTGCGATGGCTTAAAATCAAATTTGTTAATTAAAAAAAGTCTTAATTCATTTGACGAGCTCATTTCCTATCAAAAAGCTTACTTCAGTATGCAAAAAGGTCATTTTTGAGGGGAAAAAAAAGGGAAAAGAAAAAGAAAAGCCAAACAAATTAATTTCTTTTATAAATGTATTTTTAACTAATAAATTAATTTGTTTAATTAAATCCCAAAAAAGCCATACTTATGATGCTCTCATATCAATGTTGATGTGTCAACGTGGGACAGACCCAAATCACCTTTGAAAAATTAGTTCCTTTTGGAGGTGGGATGGTGTTAATAAATACTGTATTGTAATTTAAAAATTAATAATTAAAAAGTACAAATTAAAAGTATTTTTTTCTCAACTTTTAAATAATAATTTTTTAATATTAAATTATTTTTATTTAATAAATTATATCCAAAAATTATATCATTAATCTCACATAGACTTTATATATATATATATATATATATAAACAACTTAAATAAGTTGGATCAGACAACCCCTTTGTCCATTTGTTTTGTATAGAAATTGGTGTTGGGGGATCGACTTGATTGTGTTCCAGGTAGGTGTTGATGTGCTCTACTAGTTCGAGTTTGGTGATTATTTATCTACTACTTAATTTGTTTTGAAAATATGCCTCTTGTAATGATTCTTAAAATTGCTTCCAATTGATATGTTTTGGTGAATTTGAATTAATAGAGCCATGTCAGGCATGTTTAGTGAGTTTGTTTGCGTGCTGATTTTTTTAGTGATGTTTTGAGTTAAAATATGAAGAGAAAAACAAGTCTGACGTAATATTGAATGCTATAAAAAATAGGATAAAATATCAGTAGGTCTTAATAATTGGATTTAATTCTGATCAAGTTCTATTGAAAATAAATTTTGGTAAAATTGTCGCTAAAAATAATTTTTTTATGACAATTTTTTATATATGTCCTTAAAAATTGACAATTAATGACTTTTTTTTATTATGATTTTTATAAATTGTCTCTAAAACTTACAATTAGTGACTTTAGTGACTTTTTTTATGACAAATTTATTTTATAGGATCTATTAGATAATAAGTCCACTTATTAGAACTTACACGTGAGTATTCCATAAAATATAGACAGATTGATTTTATAAGAGATGGTAGAACTCGGTCCAGCAAATCTCATACATGATTTTCGTGCTAAACTTGCTAAAGTAGACACTCTTCTTCACTAGAAAAAAAGAAAAAGGAAAGGGAGATAACAGAACACATACAACAGCCTGCAAAGCTGCAAGTGATTTCATTCTGCCCAACTCGCTATAGCAAGTCTGTTTATTTCAGTAAAATTATGTTTGGATTATAAATTTGAATAGAAATCTAAAAAAAACAGAAGAAATGAGAGAAAATCTAACTTATATTGCATTTACATTTTTCTCATAAATATATATATTTTTTTCAAATCTTTACCCAAATTTATAATTAAGCACAACGTATGGGTCATAAGCTATTGTTTATTGGATCTGAATTATAAACTGAGGCTTTCAGAAAAATAACCCAGATATCCCTAGAAACCAAGAACTTTGTAGAAGAGATTGAAAAGGTTAAGGTTCCATTTCCAAAAACAGCAATGGCCATGCATTCACCTCTCTCTCTCTCTCTCTCTCTCAGCTTCTTCTTCTTTTTACTTTCATTTTATTTTATTTTTTATTTTCTTATTTAATGATGAGCAGCTTGTTCTAGAAAGACCCTTTTGATCCACTTTGTTGAGTAAACTCCTGATAAGTTAGGGATCATGAAAATTTTATCATGAAAATGATTATGAAAAATTTATAATTCTTGAATTACCTTGATTAGTGTGTGGTATTTTATTTTAATTGTAATCTAAGGGTCACAAAACTTTCATAAGTATTTTTATGAAAGATTTTTCATGATACCTAACATTACTGATTGTAATAATACTTAAATCACAAGTATTGGTTAGAGATCAACCAGAATCTAATTCAAGACGTCTAGATTTATGATTCAAACAAAATTCATTCCTCAACCGGGCTATTCGTTTGGATTTAACATTCACCCATTCACCTCTTTTTGGTACTATGGTTGCACAAATTTGAATAGAATTGTATTCCTGTCTTTTTAATTTAAGTTAGGAACCTCAAAAAAGTTGCATAAAAATAAAGTATGTGGATCAAATCTCACTTTTTTAAACTACTATTTCATATTCCTTAATTTATTTATTTTTAATTTTTTAAATTTTTTTTATTATTATTGTTGCCCCTAGTATACAACAACCAGTTAGAAATGATCACTGAACAATACTTTATACAAGGAACCCTTGATTTCTCCAACCCTAAAATCATAGCCCCCACCATATTTGACAAATGAAGCAGATGCTTTCAATAATAACTATATGCAGTATAAAAAAAATCCCAGTATCCCACTAAAGTCAGTCCATTCGACAGAATAAAATTTGTGTGAAAGCTTGAGCCTCTATTTTGAAAAGTTTTATATATACTTATTCTTCAAGAAAAAACGAAATAATGACTGAATAGATGACACTTGACACCTCTTTAATCTCTCACCTTCACCATAGTGTGTTATCTATTTTTTAATATATATAATAAAATATATGCTTCAATTTGTCCTCACTAATAGATCATCAATCACTTTCCAAAATTCAAATCACTAAAAAGGCCAATATGAAACAAACAATTTCAAAATGACAACATATGCAAGAAAAGGTGATCACCATTCCATTTAAAACTCAAACAAACTTTTTTCTTTATTCATTTGAAACATTTTGTTCATAATTTTAAAAAGTTACATAGCATAAAAGATCATTACAAGACTATGTATGATCACGAATCACAATTTTGTAGAGAACAGCTCAAAACAAGAGTCACTTGCCAAGAAAATTAACCTTCCAACACCAATGAAAATTCAGTTTTTTTACGTGCATAAATTCCAATCACAAAACTGAACACAGTTTTCTCACATGGGGGTGGTGTGATCAAATTTTGTGCACTTAGAATTTTTTATGATAATTTAATGAGATAATATCTTGAAGCTAAAGGACTTATTGAGCCATGCCTTCCAACTATTGCTTCCTCCCTTCCTAGAAATCATCTCCGACCGGTTTTCTGTCATCTGTGGTTGGGTCTGCTTCTTGCACATCACAACATTCCTTCCTCCACTTGATCCTATCAACTCCGATGGATTAAGAGCTGTAAAAAATTCACACAAATTAAAATTAAAAATTGACAAATCCATATGCAAAGTTTATGAGAACTCGAATCTGCAAAAAAAAATTTTGAAATTTTGAATTTCAAAACTTCAAAATTCACAAATGGTTATTTGCAGCAGAGTTCATGAGAACTCAGAACTAACAAAAATTTTCAGAAAAATTAAAATAAAAAAGAGGTCAAAATTCACAAATGGGTATGTGCAAAGTTCATGACAACAGAGCTGCGAAAAATTCTGAAAATTTAAATTTAAAAAAAAAAAAATAGTCAAAATTCACAAATTGGTATGTGCAAAATTCAAGAGAACACATAGGTGCAAAAGTTTCCAGAAAAATCAAATTTAAAAAAAAAAGGTCAAAATTCACACATGGGTATGTGCAAAGTTCATGACAACTCAGAGCTTGCATATTGATCTGTACAGAATTATCATCCTAATAACTCAAAACTCTAATAGACAGGTCCAAAAATCAAAACTCTCACATGGGTACGCAAAAAACACAAGGAAAAAAAAAAAGGAAGCCAAAACTGACACATGGGAATGTTTCCAATTAATCAAAAGTCCAAAAATCTCAAATGGGTAAGCAAAAATTCAAGAAAAAATTCAAAACAGAGAAATGGGTATGTTTCAATACCATCTGATCCAGCATTGGCAGGATAGAGAAGGAAAGTATTGACGTCAGAGCCAAGAACAGGAAGTCGCCCTTCTCGAGCATACAATTTCAAAGCAGTATCAATAACAACAGAAACATTGTCTTCCTCATTCACCACAAATCTGATAGGTCCAGCGCTGCCAAGAACATTGACAGTGATCAAGAATCGATTCTTCTTCACACTCTGAGACTCGGTGCTCTTCTTTTTTTCCTTCTGTGCCAACATTTTCTCAGATACACTTCTATTCATCTTCTGTTTTAACTTTGTTTTTGTGTTCTCTTCCATACCCAGTAATTAATATAAAAAAAAGAAAAAACAAGAAGAAGAAAAGCTAAAGAAGGGGTGAGAGAGAGAGGGAATTGGATTCAAGGGTCAAGGCCAAGGCAGCGATAATACCATGCTTCTTTGGAAGAGGCGAAGGAAGAAGAAAGGGATGGAGGGAGAAGAGAAGATGAAGAAGAGAACATGAAAGTCCAGACAGGCCCAACCATTCAGGACTAAGTTTTTGAGTTTGGCACTGCAAAGAAATGAGAGACGTGGTTTACAAGGAGGTAGGAGAAGAGAAGAGAATAGGGAAGTTCACAAAAGTAAGTTGTGAGGGCTGTTAGGCTCACATATATGATACACCTCTGTCTCTATATATAGCAGAAAGAGAACCAGGGGAGGTGGTGTTTATGTTAAGTCATCTCTGTCTTTACAAAATGACATTTCAAAATCTGAGAACAGATAGGCTCAAACACATAATGGCTTATAGATTTTTTAGGAGTGACAAGATAATGAAAAAAAATGAAAAAGTTAAAAAGTTATCGTTATTTATCAAAAAAAAAAAATATTAAAAAATTAATTTTCAAGCAACTCTGATGTCCCACAGGCACAGCTGACTTTTTGAAAAAATTACACTGATTTAGGTGCACAAATAACACTGTGCTGTTCGGTCCGTTGGGGCCCATCATAGGTTCCGTTTTAATAATATGTGCCGTGCAATGTGTAGAACTCGTCGAGTACTATACGTTTTTAAAAAATCACGTTGATCGGATATCGGTAACTATATGATCAAATCAGTTTAAATTTATAAAATGGATGGTGTTATAGTTAATGGTTAAAAAAACTAATCCGACCAGATAGCTATTCCGATCAACATGATTTTTTACAAGTATATAGTACTCAACGGGTACTACACATTGAACGGTTTTGATTAGCAAAATGGGACCCGTGGTAGGCCCCCATGGGTCAAACAACACCTTCAATTCACTGCTCGAAAAGCAGGGAACCATCTCTTCCCATACTGTGCATACACTGTCCCTTAATTAATCCCTCCGTACAGCCTATTCCATCCTAATATTCTCCTATACACTAATTTATATAATTTTTTAATATACAATTTTTTCATAAAAAGTCAAAAAATTATCCCAAACAATCATATTTTTTTCTCAACTTTTTTGGTCTAAAAAGTCAAAAAGTGCACTTATTTAGGACATCCCAAACAACCCCTTATTTTTTGTGAGATTTATACCTTATTTTGTATTTAATTTATGTATTTTTAATATAACTTCAAACATAAGTAAATTTATCTTTTTGGGGTGTACACTGCCTTGTTTGGGGTGTACTAATAAGTATACACTTTTTATCTTTATATTTTTTTCTATTATATCATCTCTCTACTCTTCTACACATCTTTTCGTAAAAAATTAAAAATATTAAAAACACTTTAGATCAAATACAAAATAGGACACACAAATGTGAGTCTCACCTCTTGTTAGAGCATCTTCAACGGTGACTCAAATTTTTCACCAAATTTGAGTCAAAAATGACCCATTTCACTAAATTTGATACCACTCGCTCCAACGGTTCACCTTTCACCAAATCTATCCCGGGACAACCGGGTGGTCGACCGGCCGGTTGATCGGTTAGGCAAAATTTTTTTTTTTTTTTTTTTTGCGAATTGTCTGAACTTTTTTTTGAACTTTCTGAACTTTTTCAGGACGACCGGGGTGGTCGACCGGCCGGTTGACCGGTTAGGCAAATTTTTTTTTTTTTTTTTTTAACAGTTTGAACTTTTTTTCCTAAACTGTTTGAATCTTTTACTGGTTGACCGGTTGGTCAACCGGCCGGGCAACCGGCTGGTTGACTGGTGTACCTCTTTCAACGGTCAGTAACAGTGATTTGGTAAAATCTGTGTCTCGTTCTCAGTTTGATACTTTTTTTGCTGAAATCTCATTTTGATATCAATCTTGTGCAACGGTTGGAGCTTGAAAAAGTAAGTTTTTCATCAAAATTTGAATTTGATGCTGGGTTTGGTTCACCGTTGGAGATAGTCTTAGATATTTGTGTCATATTTTTTATGTTTGGTTCACTTAAAGTTATTCTTGAACATTCAGCAATGCTATGAAGACAAAAACCAAAAATAGATGTCTTACAAAAGTGGGTTCATATCATGTGAGTTTCAACTCCTATTAAATATTTATGTCACATTATGTATTTAGTTTTTGTTTTTGTGTACTTTAAACTTATTCTTGAACATTCAGCAATGCAAAAAACATGGTGGCCAATTATAAAATGAGACATAGATGTCTTATAAATTGTGGGTCCCACAGCATGTGAGTCTCATCCTTTATGAGATATCTATATCACATTCTGCCTTTGTGAGATATCTATATCACATTCTGTGTATCATCCTTTATGCACTTAAAAATAGAGTAATGTTAAGTATCATGAAATAAATATCATAAAACTAATTAAATTGTGATTGCATAACATACAATAAACTAATTCAAGGATTGATAATTTACATGAAGGTTTTACATGATATTTCTTCATTGATAGCTAACATTATTGTAAAAAATATATTAGATTGAGTAAAAAAATATCTCACATTTTTTTAATTTTATTTATTTATAGCAAGATCCTGCATGAATAATGCCGTTATGTTACAGCAATGTTAGGTATCATGAAAATAATCATGAAAGTTTTATAATTCTTAAATTATACTTAGAATAAACTACTACACACTAATCAAAATAATTTAAGGATAATAAATCTTTTAAGATCATTTTCATGAAAATTTTTTCATAATCACCAACTTTTCTCGTTGTGTTATAATGGTCTTGACAGAAATATGACGCCCCTCACAAATTTATAACCGGGCATGAAGTTAACTGAGATTCTAAATTCAAATTTTAATTAGCCAGAACAGCATTGGTTGTGTATTTAACGAAAGTTGACATTAGTGTTACACTTCTCAAGATATGAAACACCCCCAATAACACTCAAAAAAATAATACTCAAAACAAAGTGAAATAAAACAAAATATTTTTGTTTCCACTCTTTTAAGTGATTCTATATACGTAACAATACTATTTTATTGCATCTTGGAGCCTCTAATAAATTAACTCTATTTTTGTGTGTGCACGCGAGTGTCAGACGCCTCATCTTTCAATATTTATTAATACCAGTTTACTTCTTGATTAAATTATCAAAAATTTAACTCAAGTTGACCCAGTATAGGCCAGAACACCAACCCCTTCTAACCAATTTTTTGAAATGTGAGATGCGCTGATAAAGAGGTAACAAGAGGAATTGCAGAAGGCAGAGAGAGGAGCGACAGAGGTGTGCCTTGGTGGTTGGATGGGTGAGTCGGGTAATATTGGAATTAAATGGGATGTTTAACAAACAAAAAATCAAATTTGAGATTGGGGTGTTTAAAAAAATTGGAATGCCTGACAATATTATTGGAGTGCATTTAGAGGCACCCTTACATCCTTTAAATTTTAAATTTTTTTAATGATAATTTTATTCTTACATCAAATTACCAAAAAGTCTCCTTTGCCCCCAACACCCTCTCCTATTTGCCACCCCTAACCTCCGAAAAAAAGAAAATACACTCCATCAGTTGGGATAATGTAGCCAAAGCAAAGAAAGTTGGAGGGTTAGGCATCAGACAAGCTAGCCTAGTAAACAATGTCAACATGGCCAAGCTCAATTGGAGACTTCTCTCTGAAAAACATAAACTTTAGATTAAAGTTCTGAACTCCAAGCCCCGTTCTAAGACCTCAGCCCTCTCTCCCACTTGGAAAGGAATTAACAAAGGGGTTGATCTCTTCCAATTAGGCTCCAAAATCCTCGTTCGAAATGGCCACCATACCTCATTTTGGTTTGACAACTGGTTAGGCCCTGGCCCACTCCGATTCTCATCGAAGGGCCTTTCACCCTCTCGGACCAGCACCTTTTGGTTAGAGATTGTTGGGCGGCAAACTCTTGGAACCTAGACAGCCTCTTCTTTTCCCTCCCATCTTCTATCACTAGCCTCCTCTCTTGCATCACTCTCCAATGGTTTAATCCCACTGATGATTGCCTCACTTGGAAACTCTTCCTTGATGGGTCCTTTACCTCGAGCTCTGCTTACTTACACTCCAAACCCTTTCCCCCATCCCCTCCCTTTGATAATTGGACTTGGCTTTGGAAGAGTCGAACTTCACCTAGAATATCCCATTTCCTTTGGCTCACTCTTCACCAACGCCTTAGTACCAAAGACAACCTCCTTCTTTGCCATATCACTAGTGACTCTATCTGTCCTCGTTGCCTTATCCATCCTGAAACCACCACTCACATCTTTAGGGACTGCAAATTTGCCAAACAATTTTGGGATGCTCTCCAAATCCCAGCCGATGCCACTCCCTCTTTCGCCCACCCTCTCGCTGTCTGGATTAAATCCAACTGTACCTCCAACCTGACCCACAACTCATCTGCAGACTGGTCAGTCCTTTTTCCCATCTCTTGCTGGTTCATTTGGAAAAATCGCAATTCTTGGTGTCTCTCCACCTCCAACCCTCACTTGCACAACCTCCCCTTGGCCATTGCATCTGCCATTGAATGGCAACATCTCTCTCCATTTTGGCAACCACGCCCCTCTACACCATCCACTATCTCTTGGCTCCCCCTCAAACCTAGCCTCTTCAAACTCAATACCGATGGTGCCTCAAAAAACAACCCTGGACCTGCCGCTGGTGGTGGTATCATTAGGGACTGGATGGGTAAATGGATTTCTGGTTTCTGCCGCAACATTGGTCACTCGTCTAGTATCGAAGTTGAACTTTGGGCCATGCGAGATGGTCTAAAACTTGCTATTGATCTTAATCTCACAGGAATAGAAGTGGAAACAGATGCAACCATCATGCAAAATCTCATTCTTGGTAACTCCAACCATTGTTATCAACTTAGTAATCTCATTTATGACTGCAGGTACCTCATAAACCAGCTCGGCACCTCGACTATTAGCCATACCTACCGCGAAGGAAACAAATGCGCAAATTTGCTTGCCAACGAAGGATTCAATCATGAGGGTCTACTTGTTTTTTTCTACTATTCCTAATTGTATCTCCCTTCAAGTTTTTGAAGACGCTAGGAGTTCTTTTTACCCTAGGACTGTAATCGCTTAACTATTATCAATCTAATTTCCATCTTTATTACCAAAAAAAAAGAAGAATATGATATTCAAAATTTTACACTCAAATTTAGTCACTAAAGCCTCGTTTGGGAACATACTTTTTTAGTAACTTTTTAACTTTTTGACTAAAATGTGATGTAAAAAAAACTAGTATGTTTGAAATGATTTTTTGACTTTTTA